AACCTTTTTTTTTTATATATGTAATTTTTTTTTGAGAGTTTTTTGCTATAGGGTGTGTGCACTCGCCAGAAAGACAGAGACAGAGAGATAGGAAGCGAGAAATCACCCCCCAGGGAGGATGGCTAAGCCACAATCCCTTCTTCTCCATTCTCCTCTCGGGATCCTGGGCATGCACGCACTCGCGCCTAGCGTGAGTTCAAGCCACTGGGTCCGGGACTCGAACTGCAGTCGGCTACATGGGAGTTCAGCGACATAGCCATTAATTACTCTAACTGCTGGTCCCATTTTTTTAAAAAAAATATTTTTAAAAAGCAGGGTGTGAACCAGCTGGTGGTATGGTAGTTAAGGCGGCTGCATCCCACATTGCTTACTGCATGGTCTGAGTCCCAGACCTGGATTTGAAAAGCACCCTGGGTGCATGTACATATATGCCCAAAATCCCAAAAAGAGAAGTGCAGGAGAAGAGATTGTGCTGTGACCATCCTCCATGAGGGAGGGCTTTTTCACTTTCCTTCTCATGCTCTATTTTTGTCCAGTGGGACAAAGATATACTCTCTAGCAAATTTAAAAGTGGAGGATAGGGGACAGGGTATACAGATCTTTAGGGCTTTTGAAATTTCTTGCTAGTTTGCTCTCCAGAAGGGGTATACCAGCATACACTCCCACTAGTAGTATCTACCTCATCAAGTTTCTCTAACAATGGGTATTATTCTTGTTTTACTTTGTTAATTTGATAAGAAAAAAAATCATATTTTTAACATTTGAATTAATCTGATTAAAAATGAATTTTTAAAACATACTTATGGGCTAGTTGTACTTTATTTTTTGGTAATTACCTATTGATGTCCTTTATGTCTTTAAATTAGTGTGTTTTTCTTTGTTTTATTATTTGTAAGATCATACATGATTCAGTTCAAATACACAAAAGGCTTGGTATAAGGTGATTTTAATAGGACTACTAATAAGAGTTGCTGTCAATTGAATACTCATCTAGGCTGAAACTGTGCTGTGTATTTTATCCTTATATCTTATTATTTTGTCTTATTCGGTCTTCATTGTAATTCTGAAGCAGGTATCTCCATTTTACAGTTGAGGAAATTAAGATTCAGAAAAATTTAGTGACTTACCTAAGATCACACCTAATGACGGAACTAGGATTCTATTTGATCTCTGTCTAACTTCAAGTCCTTTCTCTTATTTGTTACTTTTCTGGTACCCACCTAATTATGCTAGATTATTATCTCTAATCATCTTTTTTTCCTCAGAACTTTACAGAACAGTATGGCAAAGCTTCTGGCAGATCTTAGTGTGGACAGTGCTCGCTGTAAGCATGGAAATAACCTTACCAAATCTCTTCTCAACATTTATGATAAACAACTTCAACATGACCCAGCTCCTGCTCACACTTCCATAATGAGCTATCTAAATAAGTTAGAAACAAATCACAGTTTTACACATTCAGAGCCACTTTCTGCAATTAAAAATGAGGAAACTACAGAGCCAGATAGACCCTATGAAAATACTCTGCCATCCAAAGACCCTCAGTATAGTAACACCAGGGTTGTGGAGGAGATAGCGCCACCTGGAATGATTTCTACCCTTTCAAAACAGTGTTCTGATGAGGAGAATGAAGGTATGACTTTAATAGAAGGTGAATATAATTTGGATAATACAATTTACATTCCTTTTGCTAGAAGGATAGCTAAAAAGAAATCACCGCTTTCTAAGAGAGTATTTCCCGAGCCACAGATAAGTGTAGTTTCAACACAGCAGGTCAGCAACAGTGACCTTGTTTCTGAGAAAGAAAAATTATGTGCACCTGTAGTTTCTTCTTTTAAAAAGGAAGCCGAAGATGTACCTGAAAAACTTTTTAGAACAGCTGATATGGAAGACCAACAGCTTCTCAAGCAAATAAAGGAAGCAATTGGTAAGATCCCTGCCACCACTGAGGATCCAGAGGAACAGGCTACATGTCATGGCCCATCAGTTTGTCACAGCAAGAGTATTCAAATGAAAGGCAATACTGTCTGTGATGGTAGTGTTTTAAATTCTGACTTGATGTCTGATTGGAGCATCTCTTCCTTTTCAACATTTACTTCTCTTGATGAACAAGACTTCAGAAATGGACTTGCAGCATTGGATGCCAACATAGCTAGACTTCAGAAGTCCTTAAAGACTGGTCTTCTGGAGAAATGAATTCAGAAGAAAATTGAGAGCTAACTTCTCTTTAAGAATAGAACTTAGCTGTGTTGAACATATATACTGAATTTCTTTAGATAAATAATTGTTTATAGTATTAATTATGTGTGAAATAATTGAACAATAAATTATTATTGGAATAATAATTGACATTGTGGAGTTTATACAAACAAGTCATTTTAAGAAATTGACAGTTATTAAGAGAAGGAAGTTATAGGTGATTAGGAAAGTATTTTGAATATTGTTTTAATTTAGCAGTTAGAGTTCTTCTGTTAATATATACCTGCTGGGTTAAGGATAGAGGTAGAAAGGATTCTCTGGTTGTACTAAAGGATATTAAGAGAGGTTCCTTGGGTACAATTTGTTCTATTTGAACTAGAATTTGTTTTTTTCTGTTTCAAACTGTGTGTTTTTTGTTTGTTTTTTAATGGCATTGTGGTTTTATATGTGTTTTTATATCTGTAGACTAATATTAGTGAACTAAATGGGAGGTCTTCAGAAAGTTTGTGGAAAACACATGTTATAAGAAAAACTACACATGGTTTCCAAAATTTTTGCACCAAAATAAATTTATACTTTTTTTAAAGATTTATTTTATTTAACTTTATTTATGTATTTTAATTTGATCAGGGAGAGACAGAGTGAGCGAGGAGAGAGTGAGAAAGCAAGCTGCCAGGTCTGGGACTTGAACCGTGGTCACCCATGTGGGAGTCCAGCGTCCTTAACTACCACACAACCTGCCAGCCCCATAAATTTATATTTTTAATTCCTTTTTCTCATAAACTTTTTGAAGTCTCTTTGTATAATTTTTTTTTTTTAAGAGAAAAGATGCTAGTATCTTTACCACTTAAAAAACGTTGATTAGTATAGGAAGATACAGATAACATTGTAAGTTAACATATGGCTTCTTAAGACTTGGCATATTTTAATTTTTATCCTGAACGCATATTTGAAGGCCTTCTTTTTTTTAAAATTTTTGAGAGGTTTTCGCTATAGGGCGCGTGCGCTCGCCAGACAGAGACAGAGAGACAGAAAGCGAGAAATCACCCCCCAGGGGGGATGGCCACACCACAATCCCTTCTCCTTCCTTCTCCTCTCGGGATCTTGGGCATGCACACACACGCGCCTGGTGTGAGTTTTAAGCCACCCGGTCCGGGACGCGAACCGCGGTTGACTACATGGGAGTCCAGCGACATAGCCGTTACGCTAACTGCTGGTCCCATGTGAAGGCCTTTTAAAAATAAAGCCAGTGTCTTAGTTATTGTGTCGCTAGTGGAAATATCTGCAATTGGGTAATCTATGAAAAACAAAGGTTTATCTGACGCATGATTTTAGTGGCTAAAATTCCAAAAGCATGGGCTGGCATTAAAACTTGGCTGACAGAAGCAGATAGGATGGCAGCGTGTGCAGAGGAGACATGAGACAGCTATCTTCCTTTTTAAATCACCCATTCATGGAGCCAGCAGGCAGTATGGTGGCTAAGGCACTGTACTACCACATGGCTAATCACAGTTCAAGTCCTAAACCTGGTGCCGCTTTCTTACATTCACTCTCTCTGTGTCTCTCTGGTCAAATTAAAAATAAATAAATAATTAAATTAAATAAATAAATATTTTTAAAAATAAATAAAAATGAAACAACCCATTTATGAGAACTAACTCCTTATGAGAGATAGAACTCATTGGGTCTTGTGAGACAACATTAATCCATTCATGAGAGCAATGATTCTATGATCCAGTCATCACCTACTAGGCCTCACCTCTTCTACTCCACGATCCAATCACTGCCCACTAAGCCACACCACCCAGTGTCATTACACCGTGACCAGATTCCAAAGCATGAACTTTTATGGGACAAATCATTATCCAAACTATAGTAGTCAGACTGATAAAGAAATGTTAGTAGGCTTTAGTTTGGGGATTTTTCTTTTCTTTTTTCCTTTTTTTTTTTTTAACAAATAAATGATTGTTTTTGGTTTTGTTTTTGTTTTTCCCCTTATATTTGAACATGAAGGAATTTGTAAATCTTGGCACTGGCTGCAATTCTGCCTTTCTGGACCACTATTATTTTTTTTTCCAGTACTTTAGTTGAGGACATTCTCTTCTCTAAGTAATATAAACTAGATTGGTTTCTCTGCTTTTCTATACTGGCAGTTTTTAACTACTCGGTCACTTCCCGCCATGTAAAATCACATTTCAGCTCTTAGAAAGTTTAGTGTTATGTTAGCACTAATACTTTGTACAAGTCACCGTGCCTAGCATAGTTGCGTTAAGTACTCAGACAGACATTAGCATTAAATGATGTTCTGCTTGTCCCAGAATCTCTTCTTGCTGTTTTTTTTTTTTTTTTTTTTTTTTTGGTTTTTGTTCT